GCCTCGGCCTCCCAAAGTGCTGGGATTACAGGCTTGAGCCACCGCACCCGGCCTGTTTTTGTTTTTTTTAAGATGGAGTCTTCACTCTGTCGCCCAGGCTGGAGTCCGATGGCGCAATCTTGGCTCACTGCAACCTCCACCTCCCAGTTCAGGGGTTCAAGCAATTCTCTTGCCTCAGCCTCCTGAGTAGCTGGGACTACAGGCGTCTGCCACCACAGCCGGCTAATTTTTGTATTTTTTATAGAGACGAGGTTTCGCCATGTTGGCCAGGCTGGTCTGGAACTCCTGACCTCAGACCATCCACTTGCCTCAGCCTCCCAAAGTGCTGGGATTACAGGTGTGAGCCACTGCTCCCAGCCTGATTTTCTCTTCTCATTTTGTCGTCTCCTTCACATACACTGGAGTAAGCACAGTTGTTTTTCAAAGTGCTCGTCGTGCTGGGGTACGGCGGACAGTGTTTCTGTGCCCGGAAGTGAGCTATAGTGCTGCTTCCGTCCCGGATACCAGGGCCCTGGGCATGGCATCACTTGACCCTGTGGGTGTTCAGGCCACTCTCGGGTTGCTTGTGAAGGTCAGAGGAGGCAGTGGAGAGTCTGAAATGCTTTGTCACCAACCCTCAGGACTTGGATCAGAAATCACAGAAGGGCATAGACCAGAGTGCTCTATCCAGGGCCTGACCCTCACTGGCACCCTCCCTGACCCCCTCAGATGCTCCTGGTCAGGACACAGTGCCCGAGGCAGGGCCCTTGCTGGTTTCTGTGCTGGTGGAGTCAGACTGAAGCCATGTGACCTGGGAGGCAGCAGGTCTGAGTGAAGAAATCTCAGTGACATCCCCCTCCTTTTGTTTCTCCTTGCCCATTTTCATGCTGGGCGTCCTTCGCACTGGGAGGCTCCCGGTTGTCCCTCCCTCCAGAACACAGCTGTTCCTCAGGGAAGTGTCTTGGGTGCCCCGTGTGGGACTTGGACAGCTGTGAGCTGCCCGTCCAGATCTTCCCCACTGTCGTGTTCACAGTTGCAAAATCTTGTTCCTGACCCACTTTCTGGGGGCCTCTCACTCACCTTCAGCAACAAACTTGTTCTTGGTACAAGAATCCTTTCTGCGGCCGGGCACGGTGGCTCCTGCCTGGAATCCCAGCACTTTTGGGAGGCTGAGGTGGGTGGATCACTTGAGATTAGGAGTTCCAGACCATCCTGGCCAACATGGTGAAACCTCGTCTCTACTAAAAATACAGAAATTAGCTGGGTGTGGTGGCGGCGCCTGTAATCCCAGCTACTCGGGAGGCCGAGGCAGGAGAATCACTTGAACCCAGGAGGTGGAGGTTTCAGGGAGCCGAGATCACACCACTGCCCTCCAGCCTGGGCGATAAAGCGAGACTGTCTTAAAAAAGAAAAATCGTTTTAGCATCTGCAGGGCGCAGAGGACGGTGACTTGTCCCCGTGTGAGGCTGAGTAGGAACGGGTGTCTGCACCCGGCCCAGTGAGTCTCCAGGTGTCATGACTGCCGGTCAGACGAACCCCCAGATGCTTTAGCACTGCACATGGCGACTGGCTCTTTTGTTATCTTTTGTTGTTGATGCCAAGAGATAAAGTCATTCTTGAGTATAGGGGAAAAAAGGCCTGAAGAAAATAGAATTGTGTTTACTGTAGTTCTGTTGGAGTGGATGGGTTTTTCTCTTTGTATTCACTTGTCTTTTACAGGTTTCTAATGAATGTAACTTTTTATCATGGTAAATATATACTATACCTAATTTTTTTTTTTTTGAGACAAGGTCTCGCTCTGTCACCCAGGCTGGAGTGCAATGACACAATCTTGGCACACTGCAACCTCCGCCTCCCGGGTTCAAACAGTTTTCATGCCTCAGCCTTCCAAGCAGCTGGGATTACAGGCACACGCCACCATGCCCAGCTAATTTTTGTATTTTTAGTAGAGACAGGGTTTCACCATGTTGGTCAGGCTGATCTCGAACTCCTGACATCAGGTGATCCACCTGGCTTGGCCTCCCAGGGTGCTGGGATTACAGGCGTGAGCCACTGTGCCTGGCTACTACACCTGATTTAAAAAATATATATGTTCGATCTGCAGTTACAACCCGTGTGTGTGCGTGTGTGTGCGTGCACACGTACATATGCCTGGGCCCCAGCCCCGTGTGTGCGTGTATGCGTGGCATATGTGCATATGCCTCAGCCACAGTCCTGTGCGTGTGTGTGCGTGCACGCATGCATATGCTTCGGCCACAGCCCTGTGTGTGTGTGTGTGCGCGTCTCTCTGCGTGCACACGTACATATGCCTTGGCCACAGCCCCGTGCATGTGTGTGGGTGCACACGTATATATGCCTCGGCCACAGCCCTGTGTGTGTGCGTGCACGCATGCATATGCCTCAGCCACAGTCCCATGTGTGAGTGTGCGTGCACACGTACATATGCCTCGGCCACAGTCCCATGCGTGAGTGTGGGTGCACACGTACATATGCCTCGGCCACAGCCCTGTGTGTGTGCGTGCACGCATGCATATGCCTCAGCCACAGTCCCATGCGTGAGTGTGCGTGCACACGTACATATGCCTCGGCCACAGCCCTGTGTATGCGTGTGTGTGCACACCTCCATCACCTGCAGCTAGTTACTCATGCGCCTCTCGCTGGCCAAGAAACCAGCAGGCAAACCCATGTGCTCCTCTTCCAGTGTTCTTTTCCTCATCCTCAGGTTTGTCTCTTTCACATACACTGGAGTAAGACAGCTGTTTTTCAAAGTGCTTGTAATGCTGGAGTAAGAACTACAGTGTTTTCTGTGCCCAGAAGTGTGGTTTCCCAGTCCTGGATTGTGGTTCTACTTTTTTTCTGGTGATAGGACAGAGTGTCACTCTCACCTAGGCTGGAGTGTAGTGGTGTGATCTCGGCTCACTGCAACCTTTGCCTTCCGGGTTCAAGCGAATCTCCTGCCTCAAGACTGCCGAATAGCTGGGATTACAGGTGCATGCCACCACGTCGGGCTAATTTTTGTATTTTTAGTAGAGATGGGGTTTCACCATGTAGGTCAGACTGGTCTCGAACTCCCAACTTCAGATGATCCGCCCACCTCGGCCTCCAAAAGTGCTGGGATTACAGGCGTGAGCCACGGCACCTGGCCTGGATTGTGGTTCTAATTAGATAAAACACCGTGGTACACCTTCTAGCGGATGTCATCATTGAGAATCGTATGAGGCTGGGGAGGGCATCAGGCCACTTGCTCTGTGGCCAGCGCTGGGTTTCCCATTCTCATGTTTGTCTCTCTGCTCTAGTGTGTAGCCCACAATGCCCTGGAGTGTGCACGAGCCATCTACGCCTACGCCCTGCAGGTGTTTCCCAGCAAGAAGAGTGTGTGGCTGCGTGCCGCGTACTTCGAGAAGAACCATGGCACTCGGTAAGTGGTGGGACCCGCCTGCCCCAGGGTGCTAATGAAACCTCCAGTTCCATTTGTGTAGCCCTGAATGTAAACCTCTCATCTCTGCTCATCCAGTCTTGTGCCCATTTGAGGTCTGGCCCTCTGGTCGTGATCAAGGATTTTATGGCACTTGGGACTTTGCAACTGGATCCATCTTTTTTTTTTTGAGACAGAGTCTCGCTTTGTCGCCCAGGCTGGAGTGCAGTGGTGCGATCTTGGCTCACTGCAAGCTCCGCCTCCCGGGTTCACGCCATTCCCTTGCCTCAGCCTCCCTAGTAGCTGGGACTGCAGGCGCCCGCCATCACGCCTGGCTAATTTCTTTGTATTTTTTAAGTAGAGACGGGGTTTCACCCTGTTAGCCAGGATGGTCTCGATCTCATGACCTCGTGATCC